GAGAGAGAGAGAGAGAGAGAGAGAGAGAGAGAGAGAGAGAGAGAGAGTACTTTGCTTACTGAACCAAAAAATGTACTTGTTAATATTTATGAAAGAACACATGGCAGAACGTGAGCTAAAATATCCTCTATGTGCGGCATACTCTTGTTTTGACATCCAATTAAACGGAATATTATGTTTCAAAACCTACTGAAATATAATTTTTTCCTCTTTATTGCTTGTATTAAAACCAACGATAAAAACATCAAAATAATGCGTGACTAACTGTAAAAATTTTCGCAGTATAAAGTTTTTTCTTTGTCCTCCGTTCTGTTTTTTTTTTTTTTTTTTTTTTTTTTTTTATTTTATCCTAAACTTTTCAATAAACTTTATTTGATGCAATGCACCATTAAGGGCAGTTATGAAAACAGCGGTTGCTATAATGTACATGAGACGCCTTTTGATAGCATGAAGTTTGAAGAGCAGTATTCAATTGCTGCTCTTGTTAAAATAACAATGGCAAGCCATTAACTTAATGTCATTAACAGTGAAAAACCGTTGTTAGATTTCATATACGCAATAAAAAAAAAAAAAAAAAAAACTTATAAAAACAAAGTAATTTTTTTGTTGTATTTTCTCTCTCTCTCTCTCTCTCTATATATATATATATATATTCATCTTTTTATTGACTACAATAATTTTAATTGGTAATTATATAAAATTTCTGTGTATCCTAAGATACACATTCATAGTCGAAATTGATAAAAATTTGAAAAGATTTCAGTTATTTTTTATCAAGTTTACATAAAATGTTTTTCGTAAGTTCGCTTTAAAAGTGAAAGTAAAAACAACACATACATGATTGTCGCTTTTCATTGAAGGAAATTTTTAATTGGATTTGTTTTCCGATGAATATCGTAACAAGATGAGTGCAATCAGAACTCGTATTGTGAGGATAAGTAAAATTTTCAGATTAAATTTGAAAATTTCAATTTATTTAAAGCAGATTGGAACACTTTAATTTATACAAATATACAGTTGTGTGTAAAATATAAAATCATATATAGTTTTCTTATTTTACGCAATATTATGGTGTTAATTAAAATAAAAGCGTAATGTAACGAAGAATTTTATGATGCTCCTAATAGTAGGCAACATTTTGTTTTGTTTATTAGCTTCTAGTAGTAGGCAATAATAACGGGAAAATTACGACGCTTTGGGTACGATTTATGACGCATTAAGCAATTATGAGCAAATTTATTTTTTTTTTTATATCTTACGCCACTTGTGGTATACGAGCGTATTAACTTTGTGCGGACATAAACAACAACCATAACAACTTAAGATCCGAACTGTTGTAATGATTGATTCAGTTCCGGTCTATGCTTATATGTCCATCTGTCCGTTTTGCTCTTTCGTGTTTAACTTGAGATAAACTTAATAAGGTTCGATAAACTGATATGCTTTGCCACAAGGACGAAATCTATTCAAAATGGTTTGCATCGGACTACGTTTCAGACCATTTTCCATAAAATGCCTTATTTTAAAAAGTCGTTATTGAAAAAAACTTTCGCTGCCGATAAATGGTTTTAGATGGTGGTCCGCGGCCCACTATCGTGTTTTTATTTGTTTTGATCTAATTTTGGGCGAATTGCTAACCTTTGTGCATTAATTCTGATAAATTGCTATACGTGTTAAATTTTAAATCGTTGTCTTAATTTCTTGTTTATACACTACTTACAAATGGCTTGTCTCGAAAACATGTAAGAATTATGTTGTATTAAAAGAGCATGCGGTATAATAATAATGCACATTCATACACAACGGACACATCATACAATAGAGGGTAAAGTGCACTTTGTATTCTCCCTGATTCTTATATTTAAACGTTATGACGGGATTGTAAATATTTTCTTCTTCTTATCAAGAAATTTTTTGTGCATGCACATCATATGGAAATTACGATCGCATTAGGTAAACTGAAAAACATAAGTCGTGAGACTTAGACATAGGCAGTGCACACTCTATAAAGTAGTTATCCATGCTTCAATTTAATCATTGACAAACAGGGCAGGCAGATAGCCAGTATATCTTTCCATTCTTGATCACAGACGCTTCGTTTAAAGAGCTTAGGTGAAACTTCTCATATAAATTTCTTTTGTCAACAACAAAGGCAATGAGTTATGTACTGTTATTACTGAACTATTTACAGACTTGTTGGCTTAATCAAGTCGAGTTCGAGTAGCTTAAAAGAATAGCATTTACAATTGCTCCGATTCTATCAGAGATGTGGGGAGAGATTTGTCTAAGATTCGATGAAGTAGAAAAGAATGAGAGAGAAAAAAGCAACAAGTATTGAGAACTTGCGTTATAGCAAATAAAGCTGCATGCCTCGAGCTTATAGAGTATTTTTGGTTTCCTCGGCTGAAAACAAACATAACACAGTAAAGTTTATCTCCTTGATGTCAACGATTACGCCTAAGCATGCAAAAGCTTGAACAAAAAACAGGTCAACTTTCTTTGAGTTTTTTATTCAACGTCGCTAGTAAGTACCATAGCTTCATCCGGCAAAAGAATTCTTTGTCAGTATCACCATCAAATTTATTAAGAGTAATTGGCGCTTACCGACAACTATTATGCTCTGTAAGGACAGACATTATCGTTTAAACTATGCTGCCCGCTGGTTTACTTACTTGCTTTGCTTGGTTGAGTATAGCGCGTTTTTACAGTCTTTGTTGTGTCCTTCCTTTTGTTATTAACAACTAACTGTTCTTTTCGCACCTAGTCCACTTAAACTTACTTTTCGGCTTGAAATTCAATTTGTGATTGTCTTCAAAAATCACTTTCAAGTAGAAGAAGAACATTTTTTCACGCTTGTCAATTTCTTTTCATACTTGTCTACTTCTTCTTCTCAAATTAAGCCCACCAACAACAAGCGATTCACTGCAGCGTGCATAAATGGCTAGATGAGAACACAAAGTTTTTTGTATGAATGGTTATGTATATTGTTTTTTGTTTAGTATACATATTTGGTCGCGATGAATGTAGGCAACTTGCGGGTTAAAGAATATGTAAGCACAATTCTTGCGGAAGACGAAGTTAGTTGAAAAGTAAGTCGAAAGAGTCGAAGCAAGAGATTTGAATTGCTTTATTCGAACGGACAAGACCAGAACGAGAATCAAGGCGTTGTAAACATAAGTTTGTGGAATAAGTTCTGTACTATCTTAAAAATCACAATTCAGTGACACCGACTTCATTTCAAAAGAGTGTTGAGTGAAACATTTCGGAAGAGAATTTCGTTCAATAAAACACTTTCGATGAGAATTTGATTCAATTTTCGAAAAAATACATTTTATTACTGTTCGAAAAATTCCGTCATAAGCTTTCAAAATTTTATATGAAAAGCTATTATTTAGGTATACGCTGCACTTATTACTGAAAAGATATAGACGTCTTCAATGGCATGATGCTTGGATTCTCAATTCCGGCAACAGTTAGTGTGGCGTGAGCGAAAGATGGCCGGTTTGCTTCGAAGGACGCCACCTAATGATAATCGTCAGAGGAGCTTATGGCTTTAATTTTTTTAAAGCGATAAAGTTGAAGTAGAGTAGGTGAGGATAGATGAGCGAAAGCCATTATATGTGGGAAAGGCCGATCATTAACAATTTGTAAAAAGAAACCATTTTGAAGAAACTTGATATGGGAGAAGACCTAGAATGGCAAGCCAATGTAGTCTTAGTTTAGGTTTTTTATTGTCAAAGAGCAACAACAAAACCTGGAACCTGTTGCCGCAATAAATGCCGCAATTTGTGATGAAATTTCATCAAAGCACCTCGGAAATCGCAGATAGGTATACGGATAGATACGCTTACATCTGTCTGCGTAAAGATTCTGAATCGATTGATATAACAGCATGTACGTCTTTTGATATATGGCGCATATAACGGGACACACACACCCATATAGAGTAGAAAAAGGTACTTATCCATATAGGATCTAAAAAGGTATTTAGAAATGAGGCTCATAAATAAATTTGGAAACTTAGGCTCATAAATTAAGTTTAATTTATTAACACCAACATACATAGTAGCGTGAAAGGAAAAAAAAAAACATTTTATCTAATGTCTTTAGATAAAATTTCGTGCGAATAATGGCGACAAACACATAAGAAGATCGCTAATGAATTCTTCCCTGAGGTAATCGCTGACCAATGTTCCCTATAGAGCGCAGATATCACTTTTGATTGCTCGTACGTGTATGTAAAATATGTGGATGCACATGCGTGTCATGTCATATTTCATCCATTAAAAAATGCTTGTCAGTAGAAAAGTAAAACAATGGGCGAACATACGTGCTTAAAATCCTTTAGTTTATATATGTGGAAAGTAACAAGTAAGAAAATTGTTTGGACGTGACCGAATCCTTTATACCCATCACCTGTTGTCCTGAAAAAGATTAAAAAAAGGAAAAGAACTACATTTTCATGCCCTATAATGTGTACGGTGTACGGGTTACACTTCACGAACACCAATCAACGAGCACTGGAAGCAATCGTGCTTACAATGTTTGTTCCACAGGCGCGTTATTTGCAAATTTACACACAGATGACCAGACATACAGATGGATAGGCGAATCGAACGACGTGCTCAGGTGCATTTCGAACTTGAAATTGACAAAGAATTTGTATATGTTGTAGGGTTTTGAAGCTCGTTTCATAAAGGTATTAAAAAAAAAAAAAATTATTTATTGATACACGTGGCAGGAGGTTTTGCAGCAGCGCTCTTAGAATATAAAAAAACCAATTTTTTATTCCTTTTGAAAAGCAGAGGTGTTCTTAGCTTACGTGGTATTGTAGGCTTGTACGATTAACTGTAACTGTTACAAATATTCTTTTTTTAGTAAAATAAAATAATCTAGAAATTTAAGCTGATAGTTCGAACCAACCTCCAAGAGTCTACGTGATCCGATCAGGGTTAGGATCACCTTCAACCACATGTTTGCTTAGAATTAAAATACGGGATTTCTTACTAAGTAGCCTCAGCTTAATATAAGACCAACTGATACGAACTATATAATGGGTAAACAGTGGCCAAGTTCTCACGTTATACTTTATATGATGCTCTTAGCGGTCGTTATTATACACAAACAACTAATAGGATTTACTGTTAGATTTTTATTAAATTTGTTGTTATTAATGCTCTTTTCGTTGTCAACCTTAGGGGAAATGGCCACATTATTATTGTGAATAAGTTCTGGATCGCTTTAGTAACATTTCCATTCTCATAATATGAACATGTTGAAAGGTATACTTCAAGGTAGGGAGTTATAAAGGAAGGTATACTTCAAGTAGCTTTCTCATCCTTTTATGTATCATAACGAATTTATTGTTTTCGAAAAGCAATACAATAAAGAAAAAGTTACAAACAAAAAAAAAAAAGATGGCGATTAATAAAAGAAGTAACAAAATTACATGCGGATGTGACAGAAACTGTCATACTCTACTCTTTTCAAAAAAAAAAAAAACAGTCCGAAAAAAATGGATTAACTTGGATTAACTATGCTATAGCAAATACTATGCTACAGCATTGAGGGGGGTAGAGTTTTCTGTGACCGTAGCTGCAGTGAGTAGTCAGTCAGTCGGTGAAAGCATAACAGTTATCGATTGGGCACGCTACACGCTAGACTACGATATGCATCTCCCTATGTCATTCTTCTTCTTCTCTTTATATTGCACGCCAACATGTTACATGAACAAGGGACATACCCTTCTTTGTCATCACGCACATTAGTTTGACAAACAGACGGCCTTGAGCTGTTGAATCTTGTCGGGTATTTGAATATTTATACACGGTGTTGCAACCATTGTGACAAAGTGAATACACCTCCATCATTTCGTGGTGAATGTAAGAAGATTTCGTTTTCGATAGTAAATTCCAAAAATCGACGTACGTACGTTTAGATGAAATGCCCTGTCAAGCTTTGCATAAAACGAAAAATATTTTTAAAAAAATAAATCTTCTCTAAATAGCCTTTGAGGAAAAACCTTGACTTGGAATTTCCCCAAATCTTGTTTTTTTTTTGCATTTTCCTTTAATACCAATTTATTTAGTTTTTTTTCTTTTTCAACTCGCTATAGACTTGAAATTAAAAAAGCATTATAATAAAATAAAGTAAAGAATAGGTAAGAAACTGAGAATAATTCACTTCTGCCTTTTCCAACTTACGATTATTTGTTGAAGGATAAATTTACCTCAACCAGGATTTTTTCTTTTTTTTTTTTTTTGCTCTTTGTTACGTTTAATGTGGAAACATTCTCATTTTTAAAATTTATATTTTAATATCTTATACTTATTGCAAATAATAGTAAAGGCCAACAGGCTCATTATTTACGTTACAACCCAATTGCACAATGCACCGAATACTTTAGGCATTTGACTACATACGTGCATATGTGTATATAATACACGCATGCATATATATATATATATATATATATATTTATATGCATATATTTATACCAAGTAAATAATATGAATTTCATTTCTTTCTTTTATTTTTTTATTTATATGCTTGCGTACATACTGCGCTGTACTGAACCATATTTTCTCTGGCTAAAATAAATTTAATTTGCTGTAAAAGCGGTTAACATGTCAGTAGACGTTAAGGCGCCATGAGAGTTCATATATGACGTACATATGCATATATATGCCACACATACGTGGAGGGTATAGCAAATGTATACATATATATACACACAAGTACAAAAGAAAAAATCCGTCATGGAAGCAAAGCACAGAAATTTATTTTTTCTCTACTTTTTTGTACAAAAATATAAACACAATTTAACAAAATTTATATGTAAGATTCACGATATAACCCGCAAGAGCGTGGAAAAGTGTTACGTGTGAAACAATTGCAAAAAAAAAAAAAAAAAAGAAACGAAAAAATAAAAGATAAAGGGAAAAAGTAAAAAATGTTTTTTTGCAAACATTTATTTTTTGATAGACCACAAAGTTGGGCGTGAATTCCCGAAAGGAAAACCGAAACGAAATCATTGAAGAGTGCGACATTAACGAGCGGGGATTTAATAGAAACCGCGCACAGCGAAAAGGAATATTATCTCGACCGCTGAATGGTGAGAGAGCACGGTAGAGAATTTAATCGACTGGCAAGAGTAGAATTATTTATTAGAGATCGTGCAAGGTGTGCGCTCTTGACAAACTTGATATACTTAAGCAGTTTAGGCATATTGGCTGTCTATCCTTTGGTTGCCGAAATACCCAAAAACCCAAATCCACAGATAAAGAAATGAAATTTCATGCTACTACTACTTGGGAGACAATTTCGCAGATCGTGCTTTAAAAAGCGATGCGATAAGTCAATAAAGGACGAAAACTATTAAAAAAGCGCATTTTCCGATACTTTGCAAATTTGAAGTCCTCCTACGCATCTAAAGGATAATAGAATTTCAAAAATTTTTTTTTGAAATAGTCCCCTTCATTGCTAAGCATGATATCCCATTGGTCTTATTGAGGGGCGAGAATTTAAGTCGATGAAAAATTCGTTTTTCGACTTCTTTTCTCTAAGGACTACCAACTGGTTTTTATATCTGAATAATCGCCAACACATGTCCTCAATATTTCAAAATTATATATATGTTATGGTATATAATAAAGCTGCTCGTGCTGTTCGTGCTCGTGAAAGAAAAGCGGTTGTATTTGAAGGTCCGCGTTAAGGTAGTTTTTTCATTTTGAAAGGAGGAAAAGTTGGTCTCAGTGCTCAATGATTAACGAGACGAAAAAGAATTGGCTCGCAGCCCACGAAAAGAAACTACCTATTGAGTGGGCGGAGATGATCTTTTGCGTTTCGGTAAAATACACGTGGAAGTTTTTATCTTGAGTCCATTGCAGTTTATGAGTAAGGAGCAAAGAAAGCCAGAAGCTCGAGGTAACATCAATATATGTAGCGCTATAAGTGCGTTCTTTCGCGAATATTTTCGATTTTCAGTGTAAGGCTGTAGACAAGAACTTTCAATCTTTTTGCCAAACTTGAAGACGATAACTCGATTTTTGTGACCAAGAGAACGTTTACCACCGTCACACGGACGAATGGAAATTTGATCAAGAAGGTATATGCTCTAGGGTCTCTCTGAGACTCACCTCTGGGTATTGCAAATGATTTCACCGTTCGGTGGGAGACATGGCAAACAATTTCGTTGACTTCATCCTAGAGCTAATATTTGTTGTACTTGTTGCCGATAACTTATAATGACAATGCAAATAGGCTAGGTCCCCAGGAAGGTCCCACAATAATAGAAATAAAAGATATTTTTCATTCCCTTTGGTTAGAAGTGAAGGGCTATTAAGATTCGGATTAGATTCAAAGACGTAAATGTAAGTCGGTTGCAAGTCAATATATTCACTAATGCGGTAACTGAATCTAAATAATAATTAAGGAATGATGTGCAATGGGTATAATGAGGGAGAAATAAAAATAGGGAATAATGAAGTAAACAATGAAAAAGCTGAACATAGAAATGTAATAGCGAATGAGATATATCGGATAAAAGGCAATAACTTATTTAAGCTGAGCGATAAGGAAATAATGCATAAGTAAAAACATGTAGCGACGAAAAATAAAAAATATGGACAATGTTAACAGCTAAATAAACAGCTAAATAAAAGGCAAAAGATGAATGATAAACAACACATTACGGATTATGAATAATGCATTATTAGCAGCTAATGGTGGTATCCAATAAAATATGGGAAATTAATGTATGGCCCAAATGCCGTAAATTGCATGCGATAAGCACTCAAACCTTGTAAATGAAATTTTATTGGCTCTCGTGCTAGAATTCAGGTTAATAAAGAATTGGATATTATCTTTAAGAATTATTTGGTATTGAAGCGCAGCAAACAGCAAGCTGTCCGCACTATAGGCGTCCTCCGCAAAACATGGCACTTGGAAATTGAATTTTGATGCAACACTTTACACGGTTTGCGATTGTTGTCACACGGGTTTGACATAACACGATTTCAATCTCGGCTAGATTTCCATACCTAAGACGATTTGTAGTACAAGGCTATATTAGGTTATTGCGGACGCATTCAACACCGAGTAGGACTTCAGATAGACCTGCTTTTTATTATACCGATCACTTAAGCATCATTTTCGGAATCGATTTAAGCTTGTCTCTTCGTCAGTTATAACGAAACCATTTTGGGAGATAAAATAGGAAAGAAAAACAAGCAACTGTAGCATACATAGAGGATTCATACGATTTACTATTACGAAATTGGGGGTTGTAGGACAACAACATGAACAAATAGAGAAGTGGATGGACGGACAGACAAACTCGGAATTATTTTCTGAATTGATCTTTATAAACAAAAATTGATCTCTCTCAAGTTCGCCAGATCGCTATATCCGTCCGCACAGAGTTAATATAGCCTTATGCCACAAATGGTTTAGGGTATAAATCTAAGGTATTCATTATAAGCAAGAGAACAAGCAAAAGAAAACCAAAAAATGCGAAAAGAAATAATCACACACTTAAAGCGTAAACTATGAGAAGAAACTTCAATAACCAGGGTGGGAACAAGGGAACGTCAAACGCGGATAATTAATCTACGAATTCATATTAACTCTTCTCTGCGTGCAGTAGTATTGCGTAAGACTGCGAGAATAGCGTGCAGTTTGAAGCAACCAAATAATACACTGTAGGTAATCAGTAAGTTAGTCTGGCAAACGGAAGGTGCTGTTATTGGCAGAGGACTGGCAACAGTATCGGTAGCCTTACAAGCAAAGTAAAATCGAGAGAAAGATTGAATAAAATAACGCACAACTGGAGAAAAAACCGGGAACGTTACCTACACCCCGCTCCCCGCGTCCTTTCACGTGTCAAGTTTACGTACAAAAATGTACGCCTCACCATTACACGATTCAATCATGGGGCTGTAATTACTGGCCAGGGCCGGAAATGAGTGAGTGCGGACTGGTATTGGTGTAAAGCTACCTCCAATCAGGTCGAGGATGTATTAAGAGGAAAACCAGACGCCAGCTTTCGAGTTCGTGATGCTCATTGTAAAAAAAATGAAGGCTAGAACTCTCTTTAGATGATGGAACCAGAGAGATGGCTAATATTAAACAAATAACTTAGAATTTTCTGTTTTTCCAAATCCTCTGCACCCAATAAAGGAGTTATTAAGATGGAGGCCTCTCGCTTACATTCCCAAGTCATGTGAAATATGGACTGGAAGTTCGCCACCTATAAACAAGATAAAAAATTCAAAGAACTTCTAAAGTTATCGAAAATTGTTGAAACATTTTCATTTCAAATCTTGCTTCCTTCAACAGAGGCCAATCAAAAATTTTCTTAGTCGAGGCAGAATAAAAATAATTGCCCCTTGATGCGATTACATTGAAAAAAAAAAAAAAATCCAAAATAAATCGTAATTACCTTAAACCCAAGATGACTGCTGTTTATAGTTGCTAAGGCCGAGTATAGCTGCACTATATATATATAGTATGTATATGTATATTATATTAAGTCTCATTGTATTTACAATACATGTATATTGGCCTACGGCTTTATAGTTCCTAATAAATTTAAACAAGTGAAAATAAAATAGCTAATGATTGGATTATTATCAGCGCTTCGCTAAGCAAAAGCATAGGTTTAGCGAAAGTTCGCTTTCGAATATCATAAATTAATTCACACGCATTTTATCTTGATTTCAAACAGTTTGCGCATATATGTTACATATATATATATATATATTTTGTTTCTCGATACGCCGCAAAATTTATATTGTAATTATTACAATTTATTGGAAGCCCTCTCTCAATAGAATGTAGGTGGGTACGAAATGAGTTCCGATTTGAAAATTAAATTTTATTTTGTTGCGAATTTTTTCTACACTTCATTCAAAACATATGTATATATTCTATAAGCAATATAGCATCGCCACGATTGGTTAAATGAAGATAATAAAAGTCGTCGATTTTAACAATGTCTCCCTCCTGTAATGCATCATCCAAGGCATCTTTAGTTTTTCGTAATAAGTCCGGTGTACATTTGATTTGAAAATGCTTTAAAATGTAGTCCATCACATCGCGCAAAGACGCTGGCTCTCGTATTACCCTTATCGCGTTAAGGATTACCCCTTCATCGATTGAAATCATTTCGAACTTTTTGCAAATTTTTCTATTTTTCCAAATTTTATCTTAAAAAAAAATTATTTTGTTTTCATTGTATTGATGAAAGTGTTTCTCAAATTCCAATTTCTATTTTCTTTTTTTTTTTTTTGCTCTACACCACTTGTGGCACAAGACTACAGTAAGTTTATGCGAATTTTAGCAACATCCAGAGGCAGACCCGTCTTTAATTATACCAATCGATTTTGAATCACATTCTGAACCGACTTCGATCGTGTTAAACATACATTTTTAAATCGCTGTAGTTTTATCTGTGTATGTCTGTCCGTCCGTCCGTCTAATGCATTCGTAATTCTTTAGACATGTCGAGTTTTGGCACAAGAGCGAACGCTCTTTAAAATGGTTCGCATTTTTCCGACCTCTCCCGACATAACGCTTTATCTTGAGCAGGCATTATATGAGCAACGGTTAGCTGGAGTAAGGTATTTAAAAGTGGGCCATGAGGCATTATAATGTTTTTACTTATTTTCAATTTTGTTTTTTTAATTATCATAATCATCCTTTAATTTGTTTTTATTAGAAATGTTGTGATGAAGAGGTGAAAGGGTCTTAGGGTTTCTTTCCATAGGTTTGAAGATATTGCATGGATCTCACCGCAAACGAAGAATGTCGACGCAACACAGCTCGCAAGCAAATATCCCACCGTAAGCGTAACATGAAATTAAGCAAATGTAACATAGCACCATCGCATATGCTTTAACTAAGCGAATGTGGT